TACTAAATACATTCTGAAATAATACACAAAATCGATTTCTGAACTAATAATATACCAAATAATTACATTGTATGATTGTGATTCATTGAATGCTAACAATATTCTGAAAGAATAACAAGTCTAATTCTTAAAAAATAACAACATTCTTAAATAGTGAGTGTGATCATTCTTTAATTTATTCTTTAAGCATTTCCCATCAGGTCTTCAAACCATTATTCAAGTCATTTCTATCACAAATTCATTGCCAAATATTTTGCAGTGATATACTTGTAACAACTGCACATTAAACATATAAATAATAAACTTCATTTTTATCATAATACAACAATAGTATTCTTACAAAGTAAACTATTCTTGCAGAATGCTTATGAATATTTTTAAAGAATTTGTATTATCAAGAATATACCCAACGAACAAAACATTTGAAATATAAATACATGAAAAGATCATGTTAAAACAAAAGATGACTAAGAAAAATAAACAATTAGAACATATAAACCATCTTCGTAAGGAACAATAAGTAGGAAGAAGACTCTCCAAGGGTAAATAAATCATTAATATAAAGTATATGAAGAAGTGTGAACTTGTTCAACCATTTTTATAGAATGTAATCCTCGAACCACCAATTTTTAATCGAAAAAAACTCCAAAAACATAAAATACACCAAAGTAAAGAATTATTCTAAGAGAATATTACTTAGAGTCTAATAGCTATCACAAAACATGTTTATTCTGCAGGAATGATATTGTAAAAATTCTCAAAAAATGGTTCTCAATATTCTTAAAGAATTTGTATCAGTTTTGACACCATACGAATTTTGTCAAAATAATGGTGGAAAAAATTAATAATTCCTTTTATTTAAAAAAAAAAACTACAACATGGATTTGTATTAAAAAACATACGAAGATAAAAAGAAGCTACAAACAGAATCAAGATTACAACTAAAATCCCTAATTAAATTAAAATGCAAGAACAAAAATATGAGTAAAATATCAAACTAACCTTGATAATCGCAATGTTGGGTTCTTGAATTGTCACGACCATTCTTCGATTACATCAAATGCATAGCAATGTTTTGCTAATTTCCAAAGCAGAATTTTGAAATTGACAATTTCTACCCATTTTTGAGAAATTTTGTTAAAGGCAATCCGTGAAAGTTTATGACACAAAAAGTTTATGACACATGTTAAGGGGGAGTTTTGACACGAAAAATTCCAAATAGAGCACGTTCTTTTTCCTTGGAAGTTTATAATCAAATTTCGATTATAAAAAGGGGATAGGTTTTATATGGAAATTCGAACTTGAATTTTTCATATTATGCGGATTTGAAGACCAAAGTGATCTTGAAGTTTTGAAGCCACGAGATGATGCAATTGGAAGTTTGGAAGTGATGTATTCGAAATGGGTTTGGTTTTATTGAAGATTTTTGGGGTGTGTTTTTATGTGCAACTTTTTGGGTGATTATTTGGAGTTAATCATTCGTTGCTGCTCGGTTTGTATGATCTCACATCCTAGAACCTAATTCAAAGAATCATGGACGAATTGAAGATTGAAGTTCGTTTCGACATGTGTCACCTTTGAGGCTCGAACCGCGTAGTTGCTCGACTTTAGATGATTTGAAGTGGGTCATTTATTCCTAACTTTGAGGGGGAGAATGTTGGGGTGCAAAGTTATTCATGATTGACTTTGTAAATGTTTGACTTTTGTAAAACCCACTTACATGTGAAGTATTAGCCTTTTGACACATGTGTTAGTGAGAGTGAGAGAGAGACATGCAAAAACCTCTATATAAGGTAGGTTTGTCCATTTGTAGAGGTGTGCTTGAGAGATGTAAAATTTGAGTGTGTAAGTGTGTGTTATTTATGTAGTCTAGATCTAGATCATTTTTGTAACACAATATACAATGGATACATCTCTTGAACACCCAAATCACCATATTCAATTGTGCAAACTTTATTTCCGCATGTCAAACCATGTTCTTTGTCACAACAATATAATATGTTATGTATGCTAGAGTAGGCTAGGTATTCATAATAGGACTAGAGTGGCCTGATCTATGATGCCTTAGCCTAGGAGATTACTTCTACTATGAGATGCTTTAGAGTAAGTAGGTAGCAGCGAGGAGCTTACGAGAGGTCTGCTGGAGAGTAGCCTATGCATAGCGAGATTAGAGTGCTTGTAATCTGGGATCCTAGGAGGTGGACTTGGGGTGAATACTGATGCGACGTGGACGGTAGTATAGGGCCCGTACTACTGAAGACATTGGATCAGTGTGCAGTCCTAGTAAGAATCTTGAGGGTACTAAGGAGCAAGTAGGGTTGAGTTATTGAGTGTGAGTATACTCGAGTGAGTCTCTGATATTTTTATTTGTATTTCAGAGACATCATGGTTGTGACACGCCATAGACCAGAGACCAACGACGTGAGTGACGAGGAGCTTCGTCAGATGATCTACGATGAGGTGGCTGCGGCTATCCGCGTAGAGATATCAGAGATGTTTGGGTTTATTAAGACCACCCTGATTGATAAGTTTGACGAGAGATACACAACAGTTACTGAGGTTACAGCTGCTGCAACTACTGCGGCTGTGGCTGCTGCTAGACCTCGGGGGGGTGACTCGTTGTTGTTCCCGGAGTTCAACAACATGAAGCCACCGGAGTTTGATGGGACATAGGACCCGATTGTTGCGATGAGATGGATAATTGATATCGAGGGATGCTACTACACCTATTCGTGTCCAGAGCATATGAGGGTTCGGTTTGCACTGAACCAGCTTCGCTTAGGAGCGAAGGACTGGTGGAAGTTTGTGACGGCATATTTCGCTACTTCGGAGATTTCGGCGGTGACCTGGGAGAGGTTCACCACCATGTTCAGGGATGAGTATGTTCCCCCGGTTAAGAGAGAATGGTTGGCACAGGAGTTTTTATCCCTAAAGCAGGGGACGGAGTCAGTGACAGTGATCACACAGATGTTTCACGAGAGGATGTTGTTTTGCCCTGAGCACGTGTTGTTTGAGCAGGCACGCATAAGCCGATACTTGAGCATACTGAGGAGGGACATTCGTGATTTTGTGGTGAACTCGTCATACCAGACATTTTCTGAGCTCCAGGTAGATGACCGGAAGAGGGAGATTGAGCTGGAGACTCGGGTCAGAGAGGATGTCGAGTCTCAGAGGAGGGACAGACGACTGGTATAGGCTCAGCCGGCTGCCAAGCGGGTAAAGCCCGCTGATTCGAGATCTGGAGATCCGAAGGGCCACACTGGTGGGAAGTGAGGCAAGAGTCACGAGGGGGTGTGCAGATTTGGGGTGTGTTACAAGTGTGGGAAGGAGGGGCATTATGCGAGGGATTTCCCCAAGGGATTCTCGGTTTGCTTTCATTGCAACTAGACTGGCCATCGGAAGGCCGAGTGCCCATAGCTACTGCAAGGATCGGTAGAGGGATCTGCACCTGCTGCCTGAGCTACTGAGATCCAGCCAACAAAGGCCGAGGCACCGAAGGATCGCAGAAGAGCCTTCCAGTTGACAGCAGAGTGATGAATCAAAGAATCTAGTATGAATATTAATCAAATTTTGAAATAAAAAATGTATGTAAGATTGAACACCGATGTAAATAAGATCTTGATTCAGCTCAATATTACGCTTTTAGGTTTACATAGTGCAAAATAGACAAGACAGTAAAAACATAATCTAACTCTAGTAAAGACTCCTATTTATAGGAGAAGAAAAGCGTACAAAAAATATACTAAGGACTTAAACTAATAAGCTTCGAATAATGTGCCTTAGTGAAATAGATTACAGTGAATACGAAGATTGTACTATATACGAAGACCTATGACACTTCGACTAATTACAACCAATTTAGCCGTTACAATCTTCCCCCTTGTAATCATAGTCGAAGTCTTCAGTTTGTAAGCAATTGGATCGAGTACATCATCACTCTTCGTATCTCAGTGTACCAAGCAATAACCTTCCTAATTTCCTTCTTGTCTCCTTCATTATTCTTCCTACACTTATTCATACAAACAATTAATTTCATATACTGTGAAGTAGCATATCTTTCCACTTCGAATGTTTGAAACAAAAACCGTTTAGCTCTTCCAGCTTTATCCTTTCCAGCAAAAACTATTCCGAATGGCTATAAACAAATTTCTCCATCATCATACTTTTTCAATTCTTCTTGCTTCTTTCTAGGAGCCATTGGAGCAGTGATATCAATTCCCTTTGTAGTAGCTAACTCCACATCAGTTTGTGCCAAACATTCATTATAATTTTCAATGAAAATCTTGATGTGCTTAAATCCAAGCTGGAATACATCAGGCTCTGTTTCTTGAACATGAGAAAATGATTTAGCTTTCAAAATTAATGCAACTTGTATAAGATCATACAAGTTCATTATAGGAAAATCAACAATAGTAAATTCTCTAATTTTTCCATTCGACCTGATCACCAAATATTTGAGATTTTGAATAACACCTTCGAAAATCACATCTCTTTTTATGCTTATCACCTTCTTGATTTTCACTAGTAACCAAACATCTTCTGGAGCTCTTGCTAACACTGCATGAAATCGAATTTTCATCTGCTTCCCTTCATCCTTATCTTTACAAATTATTTCAGCTTTAAACTGAGGCATTATGAACATCATTTCATTCACTGGAAAGTCAAGCTGACTTGCATCAATGTTCGTGACCACATAACTTTGTTTTGGCACCTTTTCAAAAGAATACATGTGGTAAAATGACACCTTAGCTTCAATTGTTTCATAGTTGTATTTCTTTGTGGGATCTCCTTTCTCTAAACCTGGAAGATCTTGTGCACGAAGAGTCATCAAACTTTGAACCATCCTCATCTTTTCCAACTCAGCATCGACCTCATCCTTCTTTTCTTCCTTAGATTTTTCAATAAGAATGCCTTTACCTATGTATTTCGAACCAGTCTCTCCCACCATTACCTTAGATTTCAAAGTACTTCCAACTGCCTCACCAAAAAAAAACACCTTTCTATACTGGTCTGGTCATAGGCATTGATGTCACAACAGTCGAAGGGACTGGACCAACAAACATTATAACAGGCTTCGAAGATGGGATCTTTGAAGAAAACACTTTTCCCACCACATTCAAATATTCACCACTAACCTTCGCTTCTTCACCAGCCTTCGTACGTTCAATTCTCTTTTCTCCTCCTTTCACCTTTATGAAAACAGGTGGGGCATCTGACATGGCTGGTAGAAGACTTGAAATGCGAGATAAAGGAGATAATTGTTTTTGAGGAATGGATTCGAATTGAATAAACTTATGGGACCAAAATTCTGGAGTGATTAAGGATGAGGAAACAGGCTTGACAGACAATTCTTTCAATTCCTTGAGATACAAAAGCACTTCAGCAAAATTTTTATTTTCCATTGTAGAAAGTTGAGTAAGTTGAGGACTCATACTTTCATACAATTTGACAAATTTAGTGACCACATCACAAATTATGTCAACCTTTTTATGTAAAGAAGCATAGTCATGCTGAACGTTTGCAACCTCCTTTTTGCAGATCCTCACGAAGTTCATGAATTTGCATATTCACATCTTCCCTTACTTTCTTCACATCTTGAGCAAACAGAACATGTCTCTCTTTAAGCAACGTTTTCAGTTTCTTAATCTCTTCCAAAAATTTTAAAGTTAGAGAACTGATACGAAGTTCATTAGTAGTATCAGTTTGATCAACTTTTTCCAATATCCTTCCATCGGAGTCCCTAACCATCCCAGAAAATTTGTTAATAATTCTTGTTTTGACCAGCTTCAACATCGAATCTACTTCCAAGCTCGAAACTGAGGAACCACCACCAAGATCATCTTGTGACTGAATATTAGTATTTAACTTTGAATTCAAGATTTTGAATTGCTTCATAGTCATCAGCATATGATCCGAAAAATCTGCTTCATCATCATCAAATGCTAAAGCCTCAAAGGTTCCTCCAAAAACTTCGTTATCCGTATCAGTTTCCATTACGATGGTTGCATCAACAGGTGAAATGGATTTGGGTGGATCAGTTGATTCTGAAGAAAATATGGAAGTGAAAGGTTGATTTATGATGTGTTCGAATGTTGGTGAATCAGTGGTAGAAGTAACAAGAGTAATTTGAGGAGGTAGAGAGACAAAAGTTTCAGAAGTAGTGGAAATAGGATTACCTTGAATTTCATCCTTCGAACCTTCTTCACCCATATTGACATTTGTATCCATATTAGATACGTATACCGGGATGTCTAAAGTTCGTGTTGCCTCATTCGATGACTTGACATTCGAATCTTCGGGTGGAATAAAACTTGTTTGTTCAGGAGTTGAAAGTTCTTTAATAAGATCAAGATCAGGAGTTTCAGGAATTCGTTCATCTTCTTCAGTAGACTCATTTGTAATCACAAGCTTTCGTGACTTCTTCTTCTTCTTTTTAGACAAGTGTTTGGTTATATCTTTAGCCTTGCGTTTCTTCGAATACGGAGAAACAGGCACTGGAACTTTGCGAATTAACACACCTTGATGTGTCACTTGAGGCTTTCGAACAACATGAGGTGAAGACTTTCATGAATGATGAGACTTCATTTTAATTCTATGAAAAACCCCAGTCTTCGAAGGAATTATTTCTTCCTTTTGAGTCTCTTCGACAATGGTAGGCTCAACAGGTGTGACATCAGTAATAGAAACTTCGTGAATAATAGGTTCTTTGACTATAACAGACTTCTTCTATGGAGACTTTTGGGCTTAGTTTCTTTTACACTTTTCTCAAAAGAACTAGATTCGTTCTTTTTTCCACGCTTAGACTTTTTCTCCTCCTTTGCTAACAAAACACCAATTGTCATCGATGTGTCGATGGTTTGTAAATAAGCCTATAATATTGGGTTCGAAGGATCAACCCTTTTCAACATTGCATCAGGGATTCAAGTCACAGAAGGAAATTCATCAGCATCATTTGTAGCATCCTTCGGACAATTGTACACATGAAAAACTGCTTTGTCTTCATCATTTGAAACCAAAATGCCTTCTTTATCATAGAAATACTGCAAGATTAAACTCCAATATCTTGCATATGAAATCCCATGAATTGTATTTGTTTTCTCTACACTCTTCTTAAATTCTTTCCACATTTGAGAAGAATAATCAGCCTGTAGATCATAGTATAACCCAACAAGCATGGCATATACTTCTATACAACTTTTATCCAGACCCATCGTTCTTCCAGTTAAACACCGCAAGAAAATCCCAAACATAAAATTCCATACTTTTGGAAGACATGACTTCTTGAAATCACTAATTTTTTATAACTTTGGTTGATGTCCCATCTCGTTGAACATATGAACAATTTGAGGGAAAGTGAGATCAACGTATGGTGGAGAATTTGGGATTTCCAGAATCTAACAGAAAAGCTTTTTGGTGATTCTAACCTTTTTATCATTCACTAGGTTGAAAGTAATTGCATCAAAAGCTTTTGTAACTGTAGCCGTCGATCCTGCCTGAGATAACCTAGTAATCGGAATAGAGAAAGAACTAAACACTGCCTTTGATAAAATAGAGCTCTTTAAAGCAACAACGAGCATCTTAAGTTCTTCTGGATATTTTAATACATTAGATTCCATTTGATAATTTGTGCCCTGAATCTTCATGATTGGAAGTGAAGAAACATCATATGTTGTTTGAGAAGGTGCAACATTGACATTAACAGTAGTCACCCTTGTTAGTGTTTTAAAGCTTTGAAATTCAGAGAGAATTAGAAGTTTTCTTTGAATGCGTAAAGAGATAAAGAACCCTTGAACTCCTTTTTATATGTAACCTGATGTTTGAATTAAAATCGGGATGTGCATTTAATACCAGCTGACGTGTCACCAAGAAAACCGCATCATGATGATGAAAAAGTAACCATGCGTGATAAAGCAACTGTCACGTCTCATCAAAACCCGCATAGAATTCTAACAGTCCCCTCAACCAGGCTGGATTGTTTTCCCCAATGGAATAGTAACCGTCGGAACCCTTCGGATGGAGGTAAGGCTCTTCTACTTTAGAGTTTCAAAGTAAAGTCATTTGCCAGATTCTTGAAATCATCAGCCTGAGTTGGTGTTACTCAGAACCTCAAGGATTTCGTATGTGCAGTGTGTCAAAGAATAAAGATGAGAAGCAATTAATTTTTTTTTTGGATATTCAGTGATGTCAAAAATTCAATTTGACACGAAGGCTGTTAAAACCCCGGGCAAAGATTGCTACGTTAATTATTAAGAGAGATAATCAATAGCTTGTGTATGTTCCCGTGAATTACAATCGAATACTTGTAAATAAGTATCGAATGGCTTCTTTTAAAAGGCTTTTGAGGTGGCTTAATGAATTTCGTTACATATCAACCTAAACATAAGGTGAGTAATTGTAACATAAATGACTTGTTTGAACAGTGTATTCAGTGACAAGTTTGCTTTGAAAAACTTTTAAGTAACATGGAATGTTCGGATAAAACTCACACTGAAACCATATTCAAGAAAAAAAATTGTATTTTGGATCCTGTTGGGTAACAAACATCGTGGGTTTCGAATGTTTGATCAATACCACTCATAATAAATGAATATGATTTTGAGTTTCGAATGTAGGTACAGAAATAAATGTTTCGTTGAAGCCTGGAACATAGTTCCCCGTCAATTCCTTAAAGGTTGATTGAATTGGGTTTCACTTCCATCACGGTCTCATGATGTCTGATCATAAACACAGATTTGTGATATATCTAGGTTTCTATTAGTTTTGATCAGAAACCTCTTGGATATATGTCTTCGTGTGTGATATTGTAAGAATTTTGATATGAAAAAGATTGATATATGAAAGAACATGTACTTCTGTTATTTTGGACCAAACAGTAAACTCTTAACTCATGTGAGAAGACTAAGGTAGCTCATTGGACTAAAGTGAATGTAAGCCTAATGTGGAAGAAATCTTCGTATGAAAATTTCATTAAGGTTTTCAAACATTGTGTCATTTCTAGGCTTCGGACAACAAGCACCAGCATGCTTCTAAGGACATCTTAACTAGTCTGAAAAAAATATTCTAAATTCAAAGATTAGAATGATAGATGTACCTAACCCTAGAACTGTAAGCATTATCCTCATTGTATCTTCATGAATATCTGCAACACAGTACTTCAAAAGAAAGAAGAAACAAAATCTTTTTGATGTTTTTTGATTTTTCAAAAATAAAGAACGAAATAATCAGAAAATATTTTTGATGTTTTTGATTTTTCAAAAGTAAAGAACGAAACAATTAAAAGTACTCGTTGCAAACATTCAAAGTTTTACCAAGCTAAGAAAAATACCAATCATACGAATTCGAAGTGTTCGAAGAGTTGACTATGAACAGTAACCTCTGAATGCTGAATGATTTTGCTTTGTCTTTTATTCAGCGCCTTTGACTCATTCTATCGTAATCATTGTTTGTCTTTTTTCGCATGGAATTGAATTTCCATTAATCATTCTCAGTCCTTCCAAAATTCATACAAACGATTTTTCATCCAAAGCTTTCATGAAAATATCAGCCAACTGATCAGTTGTTTTCATGAAGTGTACTTCAATATTTCCATCCTCCACATGATCTTTGATGAAATGATAACGAAAAGCTATATGTTTAGTCTTCGAATGCTGCACAGGATTATGAAAAATTCTTATTGCACTTTGTGAATCACAACATAAAGGAATCTTTTTCATGTTAATTTCATAATCACGTAATTGACTTTGGATCCATATTATCTGTGAAGTGCATGCAGCAGCAACATATTCAACTTCAACTATTGAGATTGAAACACATTTGTACTTTTTCGATTGCCAGCTCACCAACATACCATCGAGTAATTGACATCCTCAACTTGTGCTTTTCCTATCAAGATTACAACCTCCTAAATCTGCATCCGAATATGCTTGAATAAAGAACCCTGTATTCGAACGATACCACAATCCTAGCGAAGAAGTTCCTTTTAGATAACGAAAGATATTCTTTATAGCAGTGAGATGTGGTTCTCGTGGATTTGCTTGATACATAGGACAATTACATACATAAAACATGATATTAGGTCTACTAGCAGTTAAATAAAGTAAAGATCCAATCATGCTTCTGTATAAAGTAAGATCAACTGCAGGTTTATCTAACGAAGGCGTTAGTTTGATCCCAGTTGCCATTGGAACTCGTAAGTTTGTGCTATTCGTTAATCCAAACTTCTCTAGCAGATTCTTCGAATACTTTTATTGATTAATGAAGATTCCTTCTCTGCTTTGACGAATGTTTAAACCAAGAAAATTATTAATTTTTTCCATCATGCTCATTTCGAGCTTACTTTTCATCAAGTCTTCGAATTCTTTAGACAAAGCAGGGTCAGTTGAGCCAAAGATAATATCATCAACATAAATTTGAACAAGCATAAGATGATTCCCAACTTTCTTATGAAATAATGTAGGGTCAACTGATCCTTGTTTAAATTTAGATTGTTTCAAAAATGAAGTAAGAGTTGCATACCATGCTCGTGGTGCTTGTTTCAAACCTTAAACTGCCTTATCTAAAATATAAACATAATCAGGATGTTCTTCGTTAACAAAACCTGGGGGTTGTTCCACATAGATAGTTTCTTCGAGTTCTCCATTCAGAAATGCACACTTCACATCCATTTGATAAACATCAAAGTCTTTGTGAGCTGCATAAGCCAAAAATATATGAACTGCCTCGAGTCTTGCGATAGGGGCAAAAGTTTCTTCGGAATCAATTCCTTCTTGTTGAGAGTATCCCTTAACAATAAGTTTGGCTTTGTTTCGAATGATATTTGTATCTTTGTTAGTTTTGTTTTTGAAAATCCATTTTAACCCAACAATTGAAACATCATTTGGCTTAGGGATAAATCTCCAAACCTTATTTCTTTCAAATTCATACAATTCAGATTGCATTACAAAAACCCAATCTAAGTGTTCCATTGCAATCTTTACTGTCTTTGGTTCAATTTTAGAGATAAAAACATTGAACATGCAAAACTCTTGATGAGTATTTAATACCTCATTCTTTGCACGAATTTGATCCCTTGTTAAAACTCCCTCTTGTGGATTACCAATTATTTGTTCCTTCGGATGATCTTTTATCCATTTGTCCATTGGTGAATAGGCTGGATCGAAGTCCAAAGGTGCATCTTCGTACAATTCATCATTATCTGAGCCTGCAATTGAACAAACATCATTAAGATCATGATAATTTTCATTATTTTGTAATAGCTCCCCCTCAACAATAGCATTTTCTCTCTCATTCTCCCCCTCGAAAGAATGCTCCCCTCCATCAGAGTGTTCGAATCCAAGTGCTCCCCCTCCACTGGATCATTTGTCATACTTTCGCCTATTTCTTGAGGAGATGATGTTGAATCGTCAGTTAGCATCGAAAGTTCAGGGATATGATTATCAGGAGCTTTTAGTTCAGCATTTCCAGCATGATCTGAAATTCCAAATATCAAATTATAATCTGTATCCAACATTTGCATTGGTTCATATTCATCTTGTGTTTCTTTCAAAATTGGATAATTTTTAAATTGTTGTTAATATTGTTTTATATAATAATCATCAAATGTAAGGTTAAAAGTTTCTTCCACTTTTCGTGTACGCTTGTTCAATACACGATATGCCACTGAATTATGGGAATACCCCAGGAAAATTAAGTACCTGCTTTGAGTTTCGCCCAACGTCATGGATGGTACGTATTATTTCATCTATTTATTTTGATTTTGAGATATTGTGCTTATATTATGGTATGCGTAGGTACTTTTCTTGTGAGTTTTGTACCTTCTTTGGTGTTATTTGACTTGGGTGTT